AATAATAACGCTGTTTCAACACGTCTCCTTGCTCCTCTTCCAACTAGACAGCTACTCCTAAGCCAGCCTTACCCCATCCCAAAGTGTAGAAATTTTGGAGCCGCCTGCGTCCAGGTAACATCCATTGCGTAGTGACATCCATGGTTGTAAACTTTCAGCATTTGCGTCCTACATTTTCACAATTTCATTTCAATAAGATCTGGCCCGAAAAGGTGTGGTGAATCCAGGAAAATTTTATTAACCATTTTATAGGTACAACTATTTACTGAACGCAATATTAAATTTAATCTAGATATTTTATTTAACCTGAGATAGCCATAGGAAACTATAAAAGTTCGATATATTATTACGGTGTGTGTGGTGGGGGGGGGGGGCGGTAAATAACCTAGATGATGCATTGCGGTCGGTGTGCGATCTGAGAAAGATATTTCCGTATTTCACAACCCCATCCCTCTGTACCTCAATACACACGATTCGAATAGTGCAGAGTGCGGCATGAGTTCATGCAGTTAAATATTACTGCTGAAAAATTTTGCAAGAGAATCAGAAGAAGCATTGACAAGTCATATGGAAACCAGTATCCAGATTTTTTCAATAAAAATGAAAAATTGGGAGACACAGGCCAAACAGAATTTAAATGTTTCAGAAAGACCAGAGAGACTAATATCCTAAAATACACAAGCACACTAAGCTTGAAGATGAGGCCTACTACTCCTCTAGCGCATTTCTTTACCGTCCGTTTTTTTTTTTTTTGTATGGAAAGTGTGCTTATATGGTTACAGGATGTAGAACTTTCATGTACACATGCTTTATTAACCTAAAGGTTAGGTTAGGTAAGGTTTGTCAAAAAACAGGACAAGTTTTTCCTGTCGTGGGTCTCAGTCATATGATGACCAGCAGCTGGAGCTTTTGGTCACCTGAACCGAGGCCTTCCGCTGGCTTACTGGTCCACCCCTTTAACAAAAATGGTTGATCAGGCTCTTATCCACCAGGAGGCCTGGTCACAGACCAGGCCGCGGGGGCGTTTACCCCCGGAACTCTCTCCAGGTAAACTCCAGGTAATGCCCAAAACAAATGTGCTGATATACATCAGATTACTCCCACTTAATTCAACTAATGAACTTGTTCGTGTCAGTACAAAAATATTAAACTATTCCTATGGGACCATTGCTAAGAGTCCTTGGACCACTCCTCTTTCTCATCTACATCAATGATCTACCGAATGCATCACAGTTACTCAAACCCATATTATTTGCAGATGACACTACATATGTATTTTCCCATCCAAACGCAGTCATACTAGCAAACACAGTCAATGCTAAATTACAGAAAATATCTGCCTTGATGATGACTAACAAACTTACCCTGAACACTGATAAAACCTATTTCATTCAGTTTGGAAACAAAGCTGCAAATGATCCAATTAACATTACGCTAAATGGATCATCAGTCACAAGACTCACATAGGGAAAATTCCTAGGTATCCACCTTGACAGTAGCCTTAAGTTCCGGACACACATACAACAAATCACCAAGAAAATCTCCAAGACTGTAGGCATACTATTAAAGATAAGGTACTACGTTCCACAATCAGCTCTCCTGACACTGTACCATACACTCATATACCCTTATCTTACATATGGAATTTGTGCATGGGGATCAACAACATCAAATCACCTAAAACCCAGCAAAAGACAGCAGTAAGAATGATAACAAATTCCCACTACCGCCAGCATACTCCACCAATTTTCAAAAGTCTGAATCTGCTCACCATTAAGAACATCCATACCTATTCATGTACCTACTACATACACAGAACAATACAAGCAAATATAAACCCCCCACTCAAACTTCTCCTCACCAACCTAAACAGGACACATGACCACAACACAAGACACAAATCTCTTTTTGATATACCTCGTGTCCATATCACACTGTGTAAAAACTCTATGCACATAAAGGGCCCCAAAATATGGAATTCATTACCAGAAGATATTAAAGTAATCCAGTCTGAAAATCAATTTAAGACTTCTCAAAAGCCACTTAATCACCCTAGACTAAATGCTAAATACTCAGTACACATTTACTCACCTATGTACTCCCACATCATAACTGAAACAATCACATTGAACCTTGTATCCATTGTTGACAGGAATATAATTGAATCATTGTTTTTCACAAAAGCATTTTAGAATATAAATATATCTTTGTATTATACAAATTTTGATTCATTTATAATTAATATTCTACTGTACAACTATGAAATAATTACTATCCTACTGTACAACTATGCCCCTCAAGGAAGGTTCCTTGACGTTGGTGAGGGGCTCTTGATTTAGGGAATTGGATCTGTGCTCCAGTTCCCCGAATTAAGCCTGAATGCCTTCCATATCCCCCCAGGCGCTGTATAATCCTCCGGGTTTAGCGCGCCCCCCTTGATTTTAATAATAATAATAATTTGACCTGTTAATATACAGCATCCTTATATGACCCATACGGGTTTATGGAATCTTGTAAGGATATGCTATATATAAATTTTACTGTAGTGAAATTGGTAGCTGCTGGACAACTGGTGGCGTCTTAATTACCTTCTGTATAATAGACGTCTGTCTCCTGGTACACAACTGGTGACGTCTTAACTTCTTCATAATAGACGTCTGCCTTCTTTCTTAGGTATACCTTTTACGTTAGGTATACCCCTTCCTTGTATGGTATACCCTTTTCTTGTTAGATATACTCTTCCTTATTAGGTATATAATTTTTTTTAGGCAAATCTCTTCGTTGTTAAGGTATACCACTTTTTTAGGTATACCACTTTGTTAGGGATACCACTTTGTTAGGTATACCTATATCGTGGTAAGTATACCACTTTCTTGATAGGTATACCTCTATCTTGGTAGGTATACCGCTTTATTGTTAGGTATACCTCTTTCTTAGGTATACCCTTTCTTGCTAGATATTTCCCTTTCTTGTTATGTATACCTCTTGTTATAGTAGTATAGCCCTTGATAGGTCTTTTTGTGTTAGGTATATCCCTTGTTGGGTGTACCTCTTGTGTATATCCCTTTCTTATGATGGAGGGTTAGTTACGGGTCACGGGTAATGGCAGGTCTGGGGTTGTAACGGGTCACGGGTGGGGGCGGGTTCCAGGTACTGGTGGGTTCCGCGTAATGGCGGGTCCCCAGCAGTGGTGGGTCTCGGGTAGTGGCTGGTCACGGGTAGGGGCGGGTTCTAGGATAGTAGCGGGTCACCGGGTAGTGGCAAATCTCGGGTAGTACTGGGTAGTGGCGGGTCCCTAGTAGCAATAGGCTCCGGGTAATGGTGGGTTCCTGGTAGTGGCAGGTCCCGGGTAGTGGCGGGTCCTGTATAGTGGCGGGTTCCGGGTAGTGACGGGTCTCGGGTAGTGGCGTGTTCCTAGTAGTGGGGGGTCCCGTGTAGTGCCGGGTCCCGGGTAGTGGCGGATTCCGGTTAGTGACGGGTCCCAGGTAGTGGCGGGTCCCGGGTAGTGGCTGGTCCCGGGTTGTGACCGGTCCCGCGTAGTGGCGGGTCCCGGGTAGTGGCGGGTCCCGGGTAGTGGCGGGTCCCGAGTAGTGGCGGGTCCCGGGTAGTGGCGGGTCCCGGGTAGTGGCATATCTCGGGTAGTACTGGGTAGTGGCGGGTCCCTGGTAGCGATAGGCTCCGGGTAATGGTGGGTTCCTGGTAGTGGCAGGTCCCGGGTAGTGGCGGGTCCTGATTAGTGGCGGGTTCCGGGTAGTGACGGGTCTCGGGTAGTGGCGTGTTCCTAGTAGCGGAGAGTCCCGTGTAGTGGCGGGTCCCGGGTAGTGGCGGGTCCCGGGTTGTGGCGGGTCCCGGGTAGTGGCGGGTCCCGGGTAGTAGCGGGTCCCGGGTAGTGGCGGGTCCCGGGTAGTGGCGTGTTCCTAGTAGTGGAGAGTCCCGTGTAGTGGCGGGTCCCGGGTAGTGGCGGATTCCGGTTAGTGACGGGTCCCGGGTAGTGGCGGGTCCCGGGTAATGGCTGGTCTCGGGTTGTGACCGGTCCCGGGTAGTGGCGGGTCCCGGGTAGCGGCGGGTCCCGGGTTGTAGCGGGTCCCGGGTAGTAGCGGGTCCCGGGTAGTGGCGGGTCCCGGGTAGTGGCGGGTCTCGGGTAGTGGCGGGTCCCCGGTAGTGGCGGGTCCCGGGTAGTGGCGGGTCCCGGGTAGTGGCGGGTCCCGAGTAGTGGCGGGTCCCGGGTAGTGGCGGGTCCCGGGTAGTGGCGGGTCCCGAGTAGTGGCGGGTCCCGGGTAATGGCGGGTCCCGGGTAGTAGCGGGTCCCGGGTAGTGGCGGGTCTCGGGTAGTGGCGGGTCCCGGGTAGTGGCGGGTCTCGGGTAGTGGCGGGTCCCGGGTAGTGGCGGGTCTTGGGTAGTGGCGGGTCTCGGGTAGTGGCGGGTCCCGGGTAGTGGCGGGTCCCGGGTAGTGGCGGGTCCCGGGTAGTGGCGGGTCTTGGGTAGTGGCGGGTCTCGGGTAGTGGCGGGTCTCGGGTAGTGGCGGGTCTCGGGTAGTGGCGGGTCCCGGGTAGTGGCGGGTCCCGGGTAGTGGCGGGTCTCGGGTAGTGGCGGGTCCCGGGTAGTGGCGGGTCCCGGGTAGTGGCGGGTCCCGGGTAGTGGCGGGTCCCGGGTAGTGGCGGGTCCCGGGTAGTGGCGGGTCCCGGGTAGTGGCGGGTCTCGGGCAGTGGCGGGTCTTGGGTAGTGGCGGGTCTCGGGTATGGGTGGCGGGTCTCGGGTAGTGGCGGGTCTCGGGTAGTGGCGGGTCCCGGGTAGTGGCGGGTCCCGGGTAGTGGCGGGTCCCGGGTAGTGGCGGGTCTCGGGTAGTGGCGGGTCCCGGGTAGTGGCGGGTCTCGGGTAGTGGCGGGTCCCGGGTAGTGGCGGGTCCCGGGTAGTGGCGGGTCCCGGGTAGTGGCGGGTCTCGGGTAGTGGCGGGTCCCGGGTAGTGGCGGGTCCCGGGTAGTGGCGGGGCGGTGCGCCTGGTGGTGGAGCGGCCACCTAGCGGCCACCAGCCCAGTCTCTGGCGTGAGCGGCCGCGGAGCAACACTGTATAACCCGGCGGCAAATATATCCATTATGCCCTCCTCGTCGCCTAGTGCTTCGTCTGCCGGTACCCAGGTAGGTGCCCAGCCTCGCTTTCCGGTGCGTGTGGGGCAGCAGGGTAGTAGGGGCAGTGAAGAGGTGGTGGTAGTGGCGCTGCGCATGTTTTAGCAGCAGTCTCCTGCTGATCGGCTGGCGCAGCGTTCTTCTCTGACCCGCCATGACCTATTATGTGCCCATTGGAGGGTGGTGGGAGGAGGGGGGGATGTGAGCCAAGGGTATTGACAGTGCCCAGGTAGTGGGTACATGAAGCACGGGCGGGGTGGGCGCTGGCGGGCGTGTATGTTTATCTGGGCCGCGTGGATCAATACGCTGTTGGGAGTCTGGGAGCCAGGCTCGGGAGGGTGGCTCTCTCCCTCCACCACCACCACCACCATCATCATGCTTCATCACCAACACTTACCCCCCTCTCCCTGAATCATGCCCAGGCTGTGCCCACTTCCATCATGCCCCTAACTGTCTTATACCCTCGCTAGCACACCTGTCGTCCCCTCAGTGACTGTCTGTACCTCAGCTTGTCACCCCAGCCCCCTCCCACTTCCCGTCTCAACCCACCTCCATTTTGACCACTTCGCTGTTTTACTCTGAGTGAATTCCCCTCCCTTCCCCTTGGCCCTTTCCTCACTGAGGGAGGACACGAGAGGAGAATATTCTGTTGGTTCACCTCTCAGGTATTCCCTGGTGGACGGACATTTTGTCAGTGTGTTTATCTTGTTCCATTTACCTAGCTGGTTGTGTATGTGTGTGTGTGTGTACTCACCTATGTGCTGCTGACTGCTTCTTACACTGACTGCTACTGACTTCACTCTCCTGACTTTAAATGTCATATTATGTCTTTTCTTAAAGCTGTGTACAAAGCCTACCTCTATCACTTTACTTTCCAGGTCGATCCCATACCAGGTCACTCTAGGACTGAGGAAATACTTCCTGATATCTCTGTGACTCAGTTGTGTTTTTAACATCCAGCTGTGCCCTCGTGTACCTATTTTTTTCGATCAACCTGTCTCCCCGTCTACTCGATTAAATATTTTTGGTATTTTGTACATCGTTTTGTCACCCGTGTTCCTTCTTGCCTCTGATATCGTGTTTAATTCGTTCAGTCACTCGCTATAACTCATACCCCATACATCCAGGAACAGTCACCTTGCAAACCTCTGCACTTTTTTCCAGTGTGTGTGTGTGTGTGTGTGTGTGTGTGTGTGTGTGTGTGTGTGTGTGTGTGTGTGTGTGTGTGTGTGTGTGTGTGTGTGTGTGTGTGTGTGTGACTATAGAGTCCTAGCTCCTGGTTCTGCCCATCAACTTGCCGCTTGCCAATTTCCCGCCTAACTTAATGGGCCTTGTATCTTCTCTTAAAATTATGTATGGAGCCAGCCTCCACTTCATCGAGATCATTCGTGCCTTTAACTTCCATCTGCCCCTAAGTACTTGTTTCTCAGCTCCCAGATAGCCTGTCCCAGTTTACCCTATTAATTCCCCTTGGTGTTTTGTATGCTATATCTTCCCTGGTTTTGTCCTCCATTGTAGTTTGATTTAATTCCTTTGGCCTCTCTTCGTGGCTCCTGTTTATCGTAATATCCTTTTCTGAGGTGAGTGTTCCATACTGGTGCTGCATACTGATGGGCCTAGTATACTGTATATTGTATAAAGGCCTTAAAGCTACTATAAGATTCGGCAGTGTAAGTATACTTACATGTGATTGCCGGGGTCCAGTCTCGGTTCCTGGTCCACTTTCTCTGTTGGCCACTGCTGGGCTCCCTCTCCTGACTGCGTGAGCATTATCATACTTCCTAAAGCTGTGTATGGATCATATCTCCACTTGTTTCACTTTCTAACCACTCTGAGGCTAAGGAAATATTTCCTAACATCCCTGTGAATTGTGTGTGTCAACTTTCATCTGTGCCCGCGTGTACCTGTTTCCCTCCTCCAGAATAGTCTCTCTGTCCATCCCATCAATTCCTCTCAGCATTTTGTATATCGTTATCATTTCTTCCCGGTCCTTCAGTCCCCTGTCACCAGGTTTCGCTCCTTTAGTTTCCTCATAGCTCATACTACTAATCTCCAGGACTAGTCTCATTATAAACCTTTGGGCATTTTCCGGCTTCTTAGAATGTTTGATCAGGTGTGAGTTCCACACTGGTGCTGCATACTTTAAGATGGGCCTGACATATGCCTTGTTGAGGTTCCTGAAATATAATCATAGATTTGCTAGATATGCATTTTTTGTGCAGGTTATTTGGTTGATGGGCGAATCCGGTTGTATGCTCGGAACTGTGCTCACGTCATGGTTCTTGTCCTCGAGGGAGGTTGAAGTTAAATTCTAATAACTAGTTGTCAGACCAATCCTGCAGCTTGTTTAAGTCCGTTTGTAGTCTTTTCTCTTATGCTACCATTTGTACTTAATTATTTGCACGTAATTTGTGAAAAGGGATACATATAAGCGTTTCTTCTGTCGTCTAGTTCACTAAGGCGTCCCGTAGCTCGATTGCTAGCGCACTCGGTTCACACACTGAGGGTCGGGGGTCGACCTCCGGTACAGGTGGAAACATTAGGACGTGTTTCCTTAAGGCACTTGCTGTCCATATTCACCTATCAGTAAAATGGGTACCTGGGTGTTAGTCGACTGGTGTGGGTTGCATCCTGGGGACAAAATTGACGTAATTTGCCCGAAATGCTCTTCGTAACATGGGGCTTTCTATATAGTAGTATGCCATTGATGTAATCTAGGCTTACATACCTTGATGCACTCCTTGGTCGTCCTCCAGCTTCACTCTGTTTCACTAGGTGTCGGTCCCGCACAGCTGTTTCATAGTCAAGCTTTTGAGGTATGAGTTATAAAGTGTTTTGAAGGAGTCTATCTTTAGGATCCTGAAAGCCACACTTGTGTTTGCAAGCTTGGCCTGTGATACTGATGCTAGTCTGTTTTTAAGTGTCTCAAGAGACAGGTGGTTTAAAAATACACGCGAGGAAACACTAGGGCATATTAGCATATATCCTAGTGTTTACTCACATGTCTTTCTAAATCACTTGTCGGTATCAATTAATGAGGTTTATACCTCAAGAAACATGTGTGGGGATAATGGTTATTCCCGAGTTTTTTTCCTTAGAGTTTCATAGCTTGTATTTTCTAGTTAAATTCCCGTGACCATTTATCCGAGGATTCCTAAAGTGTATTTAGATTTCTTTCCAGTTTTCTTTCCTCTTCAGTTTGTATTCTGCTCGGTACCATCTGTAATTATGGATATTCAGGAGCTAATTTTTGTAATAAGGTCACTGATATGAACCAGGAGTATTAGAGGACCCAACAGATTCCTGTGGAACTCCACTAATAACATTCTAGTATCATAATTCGTCAACCATCACAGTGACTCGATGTTTTCTGTTGTTGAAATATTGTTTTATATACGCTAATACTTATCATTTTACTCCAGTTTACTTTTCAAATTTGTCAGGAAGTCTTCTGTGTGACATCGAATCAAAAACCTTCCTGCAGTCTAGAAATATGCTGCAGTACTCTTTCCTGTTTGACCTCCGCTCAACTAGTATACGTCTGTTAAGAGATTTTTAAGGCCAGACCTTCCATTTCTAGAACCATGCTGGTGTTCAGTCTGGAATTTATTACTGTCATTGGCCTGTAGTTCGGGGCTTCCTGCCTGTTGCTTTTTTTTTTTTTTGGAGGGGGGAAGGGGAATACTGGTAAGACATTTGCCGTCCTCCGATCATCATGTATTTCACTCCTTATAAAATTGTTAATGTGTTAGTGGCTTGCAAAGTAGTTGAGCTCAACTTAATAGTGCTGATAATTCCCTCTGGTTCTGATGCCTCTGATGTATCAAGTTCCATTAAGAGTTCCTCTCACTTCCTTACCTTTTGTTAATGAAAGTTTGATTTGATATATCCTACCCTCCGTTTCTAGCACTGGCCCTTGCTCATTGATAAACACACTATAGAACCTTCTGTTGCCCTTATTGCATATCTCCCTATATATATATTTTTGTGTGTTTTCTTTTCTTCAGATATGGCTGTGATAAAACTTTGCTTCTATCTTTATTTTCTCTTTATGTCAATTTCATTTTTTCAGCTTCCCTTTTCACATGAAAGTAAATTTTTTTGCTAGTTTGATTCTTCTCTGTCGTTGGTTGTGATATATACTTTTTCCATACTTTTTGTTATGAGATTTTTGCCTCTTCACGTTTATGATGGAAGCTTGTATAGCCAGTGTTCCTTATATATTGCTCTGTGGGTTGGTACAAACATCCTAGTCATTTCTTTGCACATATGACAAAAAATATATTTTCACCATTTCCTTGTTTGGTTGTTCCCTGAATATTTGTGCTTGCCTCAGAAAACGCCTCATTCCTTCGTAGGTACAGTTGCTATACATCTAACTTCGATTTTTCAGTCTCCTCTATTCTTTAGTTTCACTTCCATCAAGCAGCAGAGCATCAACAGTGATCTTCACATGGCGGGTATTACCAAGAGTGGTAGACACACTAGGCACCGAGTAAACTTTTATCACAGGTACGTTTCGCCCATACTGGGGGTATTATCAAATAACGAATGACTTAAAGCACACTGTGTACCACACACTGCTCACTTGCAATAAAGTGAACTCTGCTAGTCTAGCTAGTGAAGCAATATCCTATATTACTCTCGTCGGTTCTCTGACAGGCTACCTTAGAAACTTCTGCATTATAGTCAAGTAGTTTATTCCTCCATGTCTGGTACTCACTCCAGTTTTCCCAGTCTATATTTGCATAGTTGAAATATACCAATGTGTTTGATGAAGGCCTTGTTCTGTTTGCTACTTCTGCAGTGTTGTGAGTGTTGATCACTGCTGCTGCATTCGTCGTAGTCGAAGTCATCTGTGCGTCTTCTTTTATTTAGTCCTGGATTGTAAATGAGCACCGCAAAGACCAAGGGGCCCTTTGTATTGATTACAAATATATAATCTGTGACATCACCACAGTGTGAAATTGACATGTCTTCACGTTTCTGCCCGTTTTTTTTTTCAACTAAGA